ACATCGAACACGAAGGTTTTGAATTTCTTTGTAAAAAATGTCATATTTAAAAAGTCACAACTCCACCATTTTTAAAGATGGAGGTCGGGAATTTTCCTCTTAACTTTTTAGTTACCATGTGTTCACAAACATAAAAATTTAAGGAGTATTTTAAGTTATTTACTAATAGGTGCGGTCTTTCCATTTCTAAATTATTAATTTTTGCAAATTTTTCAACACCTTGTATTTCTGACCTACCGATTTTCTAAATAAGTTTTCTATTATGATGCCAAATTTGTTAAAATTTATTGTAACAGCTTTTTTGAAATTATTGTTAGGATAAACCTCAATATTCCTGGCACTAATGGAAATATAAATTCAAAAATATAACAAAATACAGGGTGTATCATTTTAAATATATGAAAGAAACCGACAGTTTGCATTTTTAATCACCATTTTTAAATATTTCGAATCTTGTTCAATTTTTACTTCCTGAACTAAACTAAAACTAAACTAATCTAGGGAAGTATTGTAATACTCCACTCCGTTCGGTGAACGGCTAATTTCATGTTCTCTCGACGTTTCATGTTTCGCAGAGTATGAAAAAGGGATCTTCCATTTCCACCTATCTATTTTATTTATTTATTTATTTATTTATTTATTTATTTATTTATTTATTTTATTTTCTGTCTTCTATCTGTCTCTGTGTCGATATTTATTAGATAGATAATAATCTGCGTAATTACTGCATTGATTTTTATCAAATTGTATGTGATTTAAAAATGTGTAGACGGTAACCGCTAATCAAAATTTGTACAGTCATCCCTACCATGTGACGACGTCATCTCAAAATTTTGCATGGTAAATGTTATTTAAATTTCATAAAACAACATATCTATGTATATATACTTTTATACTTCTGGTTTAAAATCCGCTATTTTTATCCTAGGCGTCGAGATTTTTTCTTCCCGGGTGCAAGCGAAGATCTTGTAATAGTATCCATGAGGCGAATGGCTACTTTCATGTTTTCTCGACGTTTGGTGTTTCATGACGCTCAGATTACGATAAAATTAAGGCTCCCATTTCCGATTCTATGTCGTCTGTGTCAGTTTTAATTAGACAAGATAATCTGCTAAACCACTGGACTGATTACACTGGGCAACAGTCATTTTGTGCCGGAAGTGTAAATAATCAAATCTTACTAATTTACGTATACTCAATACAAAATTGATAATAGAAAGTCTCCTTTGGTTATAGTTTTTCAATAACATACACACATATTTTCACAAAATGTTTAATTGCTACGGTCTTTTTAATAAATCCAGTTACCATAGTAAACAAATAACTGACATCAACTGTCAAAGAAACTTTCTAGAAAAGTTGCCATTCTTATAAAACAAATTAGTTTTAAATTTTGTGTTAGTTTAAAAGTATATATAGGGCATTTTTGTATAAAAAAAATGCCGCGAAATTGTAAAAATAGTAGTGACAGTTTTTGCCACATTTGCGGTGAAGGTATATTTATAGGTCCTCAAATTAGAGAACTCATCAAAGATAAAGATTTTGAGAACATCATTACTGGCAACGAAAAAACTGCATGGACTGCCTTTAAAGAAGTTGCAACGAATTTTCTTGGAAACCACCGAGCCGAGAATTATAAAGACATAGTGCAAAATTTGTTAACTGCATATAAAAATCTAGGTTGCAATATGTCTTTAAAAGTTCATTTTCTACATTCGCCCCTAGATTTCACAATTAAAGAGCAAGATGTGAAGTATAAGCGCCAAAGTCGAAAAAGAAAAATTACATAAATGTTAAAAAACGTTAAATTTTTATATACTTATATTATTCAATAAACATTTTTATTTTTCAAAAACTATTACCAATTGTGCATTTTTATTACCATAGACGTGTTTAGCAACCCCATATTAAGTAAAAATTATTGCAATTATGCATGGCACAATTTTTTTTTTAATATTGTTGCCCAGTGTTATTGTCGAATTTTATATGAGATGTAGGAATATCGTGAGGTGGTAAAACGCTAATCAAAAAAATTATGTGAACTAAATATTTTTTCCTAGCAACTCCTATCTACATTTTAGAAAATAACATAGTTCTCTACTTACGGGTTATGAATCCGCCTTGATTTTTATCACAATTTCTTTACAAATATTTTTGTGTAATACATATTTCGTCATGAGTATTACATACCTAATATTTGGGTTACGCGTAATGAATTCCGGCTGGACATCTGGATTTTTCTGCTCCTTGGCGAACTTAAACTCTACTTACAATGGTGTAGATCCCATCCTCGTCGAACCATTTTTTTCAATACATTGAATTTGTGTGAATGACTTCAGGTGCGAGTGAAGTTTTATCTAAATAACTTGACGAATTTTTACTTCCCGAGCGTAAGCAAAGGAAGTATTGTAAGCGAGTCCGTCGGCCGACATTCTACTTTTGCATTTTCTCGACCTATGATGACCCCTGGAGGACGAAGAAATAGGACTTCCGTTTCCGTCTGTCTGCCGTCCCGGATTTTTATTGGACAGATAATCTCTGAAAGTACTGGGCCGATTGTTGTCAAAAAATTTGTCTAATCATCCTCACCACTAATGTGATGACGTCACTTCAAAATTGTACATAGTAATTGGGTTCTAAATTGTATCAAATAACATAGTCTTACACCTGTACTTTATGACTCCGAATTGAGATTTTACCCGAAACATCCAGATTTTTGGGAAAAAATCCAAATTAGGAAACAACATTTTGACTTTTAATTTGGAATCTACAAAAATATATTTGCTTATCTCCTCCAAAAAATCGATGACGTCAGCTCAAAAATTTGCCAAATAAACATCCTATCTAAAATGTACAAAATATGATGAGTTTGTACTTATCATTCCATTAATATTTTTTGGATTTGCATACCCAGGGTGACTCAAAAAAATTATCATTGTATTTCAGGTGGGAGGGAAGTTCTGTCGAAACAACTTTCGACCAATTTTTTAAATTTTATATTAACAGTTACGCTATATTTTCTAAATTCTGACGCCGTACTTTTTATTGTAGAGATTATAAATTTTGAAGGCCGTACTTTTAATTTGGAACTGCTTTTCCACGGCGACTAAAAAATTTCATGAATCAATCAATTTATTGTATTCATTAAAATAAGAACGGTTCACCCCATTTTTTCGAAAACTTGAGAATAGGGACTGCTATTATCAGTACATATTATACTGCACCTATTCCAATTGATACACGTGTCGTTGCTAAAAGGTTGATGACGTCATAACAAAATTAAAAATTAGTTACTGTAAACCAGCTGTAAGTTTTCTTAATTAAGATACAAAAAACGCAAATTGAGTGCTTTTTAAAATCTCGTAATAAAAAAATCTTCAGTTTCCGAATAAACGAGAAGTGTTTCAGTTTTCATAATTTAGGTAATTCGGTCTGTAGAAGCTTTCATAATATAAGCTTCCCTTTGATCGTTTAAATAGTAAGTGGTTTATTTTAAATATTTATGAATTTAATATTTCACAGAAAACGTCAGGGAGGTTTATCAATTAGTAGTCAGTGGCGACGAATTTATTCAATTGTGCCTCTTGTTTCCTTAATCTCAGGATGTCGAATTACCAGAGAATGGTAGCTTGTATAAGTTTGAGTAGCTATAATCGCTCTGAAAGTGCGATTGTGCAATCTTAACATAAGGTTCTCTAATTTGACTTACCATGTAAATGGCATCAAAATTTTTATTCATGAATAATATTACATTCAAACGTAAGCGTCAGTGATCACGTGAAATGTGGGTGTTCAACCCTGCAGTTGACTGCGCCAGTTTTATACTCTACAATTCTCATTTGCTTTGATCAGTGGCCAGACACGCATTTATGCCCAGAAAACCATAAATATTAACATAACAGCATTTTGAAACGTATTACAGATATGTATGTAAATTAGCTATAAAATTTTAGGACGACAAATCGTTTCAGTAGTGTGCATCAAGTTTTCAGACGAACTGAACTGCATTGATCAATAAAAAACTGATTACGTGCTAGTCATAAAACCACAGTAAGAACACTTTGTTTGTCTATTAATAAAATTTTACAACCTACAACGGATGCCTGTTTCATAGAACTATAAATTAGAGAACCTGGATCGAAGTTTAACAGTAGCCTACGGCTGAACATTACAGTGGAATTAATTTTTTTTCTTTTGTATTCTTATATTCATCGTCGTTCATACAATTATTCACTTAAAAAAATATGAGAGGAGATAAAACCTAATTCCAATTTATTAATTTCTGGCTAACAACTATTTTCCTGAATACAACCCTGAAATGCAATATGCAGTACTACTTGTCATTATTTTACATTTAAGAAAACTGCTAAAATAGCATTAAAATATGTAAATTGTTTTTCACGAATGTGGAAAATGTTTTTGGTGGAGCGTGAAGAATGTCGTCGCATGCCAGCTTAAAACAAAAAAAAAACACGAATAAAACGTGACATACTATTAGCGAGTTTCTTTTCAGCTTAAAGACTTTGAAATTTATGAAAACACAAGGCTTGACCGAATTCTTCGCACACAATTTAAACTACATACAAAATTTGTCATTTATGTACAGACTTCTAAAATTCAATTTCGGATTTGCCTCCGTACTTTGACCAGAAGTTGAATCTTTCCATTTTTGAACCCCCTCTTCTCGAATTTCGTTTTCCCTTGTCTCTGTTTCGTTTTCCATGTTTGGTTAAAATACACAGATAGGCAAAAATTACAGCCATCGTTTGTGTAAGTAAAACTGATAAACTTCGGGACCCGCTATAACAATTTACCCCGGGTCGGTTGACACAGCCGGTCCGACCCTGCGCACCGCTCCACCACAATGAATTATTTTAAATAAATTACGCCGAATGAGTTGCAAAGGACCAAAGACCCTGCCGTATTATAGGGAAAACTGTCAACGCCTGATTATCTCCCCACAGTCCATCAGTCCGGAAACTATGAATTATTTCCGGCAGATTTTTAGATAACATAGCAGTATTAATGACCAGTCCACGATCGGAAGACTTGAGCGAGTTCTTATCAGCGGTGTACACCACGAAGATAGCGGATCCTAGTAAATTTTTCACCGTTCCTTTTAATAGAGGAGAAAGTGTAAGTTCCATGTGCTGTAAATGCTTGCTTATTATTTTTGTTTCGGTTTTGCAGACTTTTTCGGTCGAGGTTCCCAAACCGTTCCAGCTGCCGAGCATACCGGAAAACGTAAGTACATGAATTGTTAAGCAATCTCGTGCCGAGATGTTTTTCAAATGGAGGGATTAGATTTTAAAATTTGAAAGGGGAGATGAGGTGCAATTTTTCCTGTAAACAAAGTAATGGGTGGGAAGTGAAAAAAAGTAGATTGTACAGCTGGCATGGATTTATAAATCGCAATTCAAGCGAGTGGGAAAGAGCATTCCACAGTTGTTCTACGGCTGCTTCAGTTACGTTTTTTCTATACACATACAACGAACACTTTTTTAAATAGTCGTAGGAAATGGCGTATTGTACAACTTATTGTATTTCACTCACGTCGTGCATTTAAACGTGCATAAAGTGAACAGTTTTCTAAATATTTACGACATCAAAAAAATGCGGACGTTGTTTACACCGTACTTCCACAAACCGAGAGTGGTTGTATTAAAGGGGTTGATATAAATAATTTCACATATTTTCCCTTAATTAATGAATCGTATAATGCGAAAACACGGGATTTATTTTGTTTCATAAGTTTTTGAACAAATGGGGCGACGATGTTTTTGGAGGAAAGAGAATATATTATAGCTATTTTAATTATCTTGTTTGTTTTTTAAACCATTTGATGTTGTTTTGAAAATTTCAGTGAAATCTGAGTCATATTTCAGGTGAATTATGAATGTGCTTTTAAAATAAAATTTACGAATTAATTTTTTTAATGTCATAATCTTTATGGATCAGTTTTGATATGCACAGAGTATACACCGGTCATAACTTTGATGCACGTATTCAGCGATTTTTTCGGTGAATAAATTAAATCTTCGTATACCTTAAATCGCTGATTGTATTGTATAAAATTATAGAAATATTCATTGTGTATTTTTTTTTGAGAACAATTTGTATGCATAAAATTTAAAATATGGATGAATTATTAACGATTATCATATTATTGTATCCTGTGACTTGTTAAATGCCTAGAAGGCATGAAATTAAACTTTCTGAAAATTATGGAATATGTGGAATGTATAAACGTTAATAAATACTGTTATTTGTTGGTTCAGTTGCTTACTCTCTAATTGTGTTTTTGGATTTATGTTTTAATAATTAGATACTGACCGTAGGTAAAAATAAATCGCGATACATATTTGAGAAATTTAGAATAATTCTGCTTGACATAAAGGTTTATGTAATTGGTAAAATATTTATATTACTACATAAATAAATATGTTTGTTCATAATGGAATACTCAGAAATGATTACTGGTATTACTATTACTACGACATTATGTTGTTTCTTACGTAATGCATACTACTCGTTTTTTTCGGGATTTTCCAGAGAGAACGGATATTTTCACAACTAATTTTAATTATTGTTGTTAGTGCTTCGGTGTTAACCATGATTTTGACTTTCTAATAGGTAACTGATCATTAGTAATTATTCTGCGTGAACTGTTTTTAATATTTTATTTTTTGCGAAAAAATTTCCAGGGTCCGTTTCCTAAGGATAAATGCACTCCACACCAAATATAAACAAGTGTATTTTCGTAACATGATGCGTTCGAATCATAGGCAGTGGCACAGTATGGGTGATTTAAGTATGATACGTTAATGAATTCAGAAAAACAAGCTCTACAACAATTCTAAAAAATATATAGTCTCATTAAAAAATGTTGAATGTCGTAGACAAACAAATAGGTTGCCAAAACTCACTTATAGGGCATCATTTAGCTTCTTACATTGTTACTGGTATTACTTATGTATATTTGTTGTAATGTATAGAGGTTATCGCAAATAACAGTTCGCAAATCAATTTTTTTAATTTTTGAAAACTGTAGTTAAGGGGCGATGGAAGTCCTATTGCGACAATCTTCGACCAATTTTTTTAAATTTATTATTAAAATTATTAACAAATAAAGCGTCGATTTTTTGCACGAGAAATTACAATTTTTAACTATTACTGATTAGGCAACTTTTTTGCGTAGTTCTAGGTTGATGCTAACTTTAATCACTTCATGGGTGGTCATATCATCACCCTGATCATTTTTATTCTTTCAAAAATAAAATAGTTGAGGCTCCAAAATTGTTTGGGATTCTTCCTGAAACAACATACCAGAAGCCGCTAATTAACTTTCAAATGTGTTCTAAAATAAAACACTAACAAAGTCCAAGATTCTTTCAACTTCTTTCGTGAACAAAACTCCAAGGACTCCCAAAATAACTTTAATTTTTTGAAAGATAAAACTCGAGGAGATAGATTCTTTCAAATATGTTCTAAAACAAAATATCAGCTGGTGCTAAGTTTCTTCGAAATTCATCCACAAACAACAGGGATCATAAGATCGTTTTCATTCTTTCAAGATTAAAAGACCTCGAGCCCGAGATTCTTTGAGATTCTTTCTAAACAAAACACCAGAGGTCTTCAAGATTCCGTCAAACAAGTTTTAAAACTAAACATTAGGGGATCTAAAAATTCTTTCAAATTTAAAGAAAAATAAATCCCCATAAGTCCCCAAGATTCTATTAAATGTGTTCTAAAACAAAACACCAGAGAATCAAAAATTATTTTTAATGATCCCAAAAACAAAACACCAGAGGCCCCAAGATCATTTTTATTCTTTCAAAAATAAAACACTTGAGGCCCCAAGATTGTTTGGGTTTCCTCCTGAAACAAAACACCAGAAGCTCCCAATTTTCTTTCAAATGTGTTCTAAAACAAAACACCAAGGAAGCCCAAAATTCTTCCAACTTCTTTCGTGAACAAAACTTCAAGGATTCCCAAAATAAGTTTAATTTTTTCAAAGATAAAACACGAGGAGATAAAGATTCTTTCAAATTGTTCCAAAAATAAAATACTAGGAGCTACCAAAATTCTTTTAAATATGTTCTAAAACAAAATGTCAGCTGGTGCTAAGATTCTTTCAAATTCATCCACAAATAACAACAGGGACCATAAGACCGTCTTCATTCTTTCGAGATTAAAAGATCTCGAGCCCGAGATTCTTTGAGATTCTTTCTAAACAAAACACCAGAGGTCTTCAAGATTCCTTCAAACAAGTTTTAAAACTTAACACTGGGGGATCCAAAAATTCTTTCAAATTTAAAGAAAAATAAATCCTCATAAGTCCTCAAGATTCTATTAAATGTGTTCTAAAACAAAACACCAGAGAATCAAAAATTATTTCAAATGATCCCAAAAACAGAACACCAGAGGCTCCAAGATTGTTTGGGTTTCCTCCTGAAACAAAACACCAGAAGCGCCCAATTTTCTTTCAAATGTGTTCTAAAACAAAACACCAAGGAAGCCCAAAATTCTTCCAACTTCTTTCGTGAACAAAACTTCAAGGACTCCCAAAATAAGTTTAATTTTTTCAAAGATAAAACACGAGGAGATAAAGATTCTTTAAAATTTTTCCAAAAATAAAATACCAGGAGCCACCAAAATTCTTTCAAATATGTTCTAAAACAAAATGTCAGCTGGTGTCTTTCAAATTCATCCAGAAACAACAACAGGGATCATTAGATCGTTTTAATTTTTTCAAGATTAAAAGACCTCGACACCGAGATTCTTTGAGATTCTTTCTAAACAAAACACCAAAGATCTTCAAGATTCCTTCAAACAAGTTTCAAAACTAAACACTAGGGGATCCAAAAATTCTTTCAAATTTAAAGAAAAATAAATCCCCATAAATCCCCAAGATTCTATTAAATGTGTTCTAAAACAAAACACCAGAGAATCAAAAATTATTTCTAATGATCCCAAAAACAGAACACCAGAGGCCCCAAGATCATTTTTATTCTTTCAAAAATAAAACACTTGAGGCTCCAAGATTGTTTTGGTTTCCTCCTGAAACAAAACACCAGAAGCTCCTAATTATCTTTCAAATGTGTTCTAAAATAAAACACTAACAATATCCAAGATTCTTTCAACTTCTTTCGTAAACAAAACTCCAAGGACTCCCAAAATAACTTTAATTTTTTGAAAGATAAAACACGAGGAAATAGATTCTTTCAATTTTTTCCAAAAATAAAATACCAGGAGCCCTAATTTTCTTTGAGATTTTTCTTAAAAACAAAACTCCAGAGGCCACCAAGATTCTTTCAAATATGTTCTAAAACAAAATATCAGCTGGTGCTAAGATTCCTTTAAACAAGTTTTAAAACAAAACACAAAGTGACTCAAAAATTCTTTCAAATTAAAAGAATAAATTCCCAAGATTCTATTAAATGTGTTCTAAAACAAAACACCAGAAAATCGGTAGTCTTCTTACTGTCCTGTTGTTGCTGAAACTTATTTCTATGAAACCTATTGAAATGATTATATTTTTATTTTACTGCCAAGTAAGTGTGCTTTCCATAGTAAATGTAGGGATATCTTATCGGTAAAATTCATCAATGAATGAAGGACTACTGAAACTGTTGATTTGGGTGATTTTCTGTTTGCTCCGACTATTGATCTAGAGAATTGATTTTTTCCAGACATCGGAGTAGAAAATTTTAGCGTTAGTTTTAAGTTTCTGGACTATCACTTTCTAGGAGAAAAAAAAATCTTGAATTATGATAATTTTCGAAAATAGTCCACGTTGGCCCCTGAAATCGTTATGTTGAGGAAAAAATGAAAACTAGGATCTTTCAGGAAATCAGGAAATACGGTGCTTACGTCCCTAAAAGTGATACACTTTTTTATATTTTTAGATAGGTCCTTTGTTCTTGGGACAAATTTGTATCGTACTAGAAGATCAACTTGATTGTAAACACATTCTTTAATTCGTACTTCCGGTAACACCGAAAATAACATCAACTTTATATTTTTAACTGGGACATCCAATATATTTTGCAATAAATGAATCCTTTGCATTTTTACCACAAAATTGAAAAATTAACAACCATGATTTCATTTGCATGGTTTTATTAAATTTAAATAAAAAAAATGTTGATCGTCAAAAACTACCAATACAGACCACGAGAATTTAATTTTAGTAAACATGATATTATGAAACCCCAAAGGAAATAATTAATGGGGTTCAAATC